TGGGAGAGTTGCCTCAAAGTGGGCCCAAAGATTCCTTGAATACTTAAAAAAAAAAGACTATGGTCTTATTCAGTTAGTTAGCAACTTCTAGCCTATGGTGATAAGGGGTTTACTGGCCTTCACTCGTGCCCTATTCTAAAGCTATCTCCATTTAGGCTCCCCTTGCATTTCACTAACTTGACACACCCCTACGGTATCCCTGGACTTCTGTCTTGCTCTAGCACATCCACCCAGCCCTAGAACTAGAGAAAGGAACATGAAAAGAAATAGAGGGGCAGGTATTGAAACTATAAGAGACAGGGTTCTAAGCCACCTCCCCTGACCCCCTTCTGATATCCCAGGTTGACTAGGAAACTCTGACTGAGCTCTTGGATATTTATCAAGGAAATCGTCTGTGCATTCAGGATATCCCATTTTCAGTTAAGTTCAGCATTCATTGCCTAGGCACCTGTATATTATGCCCTATATCTCAAAAAAAATCAACTCACTGCCATCAAGTCAATGCTGACTCATAGCGCCCCCATGTGGATTTCTGAGACTGTAACTATGTATGGAAATAGAAAGCCCAGTCTTTCTGCCACAGAGCTGCTGGTGGTTTCAAACTGCCAACCAAGCAGACTGCAGCCCAACACATAACCACTACATTACCAGGGTTCCTCTACCCAACATCTGATACTGAGCAAATAAATAAAATACCATCTCTAATGCTTAAGAAGTTCCTAATCTTTCTGTCATCCACACCAACTAAGTTCTGAACTGTAAGTAAATCTCTGGACCTCTGTAGTATAGTGAATTACTTGATATAGCCCTCGATAGTTATAGTGTATAACTCCCACCCCCAAGTATATTAAGTGTATTTCCCCTTTTCCTGATGAGTCTGAGTAAGAGAAGTTAAGGGAAGATACTGATAGGATAATCAGTCATGAATGATTGTTAACGGGGTTAATTATGATTGGAAGAACCTGGAAATCTAATGGGAGGATTGGTCAATTTTGTCGCCCTGATGGGTTTAAAATGAGTCAACACAGAAGCAAGAAGGGCCCTCAGTACCATCAAGAAAGACCTAAGTCGACGAGCTGAATCAGGATGTGTCTGAATTGTTGAATGTAAAGCCATGATCTGCTCTATAAACCTTCACCTATGTTGCAATAAAGAGTTTTTTTAAAAAGAAAGAGGACCCAGGAATGGAACATGTCCTCTGGACTCCAAGAAGCCTCCATATTGAACTTCCTCAACCCAGGAAGAGAAAGTTGTAACAATAAAGCAGCAGCAGAGAAGTGGTAGAGACGTGGCAATAACAGCAGAAACAAGAAACAGCAGTGGATTTCTGGAGCAAGCAGAGTGATGCCTTCAGGCAGGACGTTTGCTTGGGGAGTGAGATTCTTCCAGGAGCTTAATTGGGGAGCTGGGTTTGCTCACCCACAGAGTTAGAGCCAAGTGCCTTATGACTGAGGCTTATGTCAGTGTGGTATGCCCTTTGGGCATGTATCAGCAGTGCTAAAAGATCTCTGTAACATTGCCCAAACATAGAAGAGTTCAAGAAGCCATATGGCTGAGAGACTGAGGACCAGAGAGAAGCCTGCCCTACAGGCAAAGCTGAGAAGAGGCTGTCCTGACCAAAGAACTTTTTTTAACATTTCTGATCCCATATGTAACCTGTTAACTTCTCTACTAAACCAGATAATTTGGACTATTGTCTGAGTTCTGGGTGGCCATTGCAATGAATTATTAAAGCCAGCAGAGAAGTGCGAGTGCTGTCAGAGGGATAGTTGGTGTCAGAATTGATAAGAAGGCTTGAGGATAGAGGCATGTCTGACCTCAGCCTCAGGAATCAACCTTGGGCTGATGGTGATCCCTCCCTCCCTTGTGAAGTTAGAGGAGGTCAGATATTACTCCCACCCCATTCTTTTTCTAAGAAAATCATTTTATTGGGGGCTGTTACAGCTCTTATCACAATCCATACATGCATCC